ATTTCACATTAAGCGCTTAATACAAAGAAACCAGGAAGATGTAATAATAAATCACATTTGGACTATTCTAATGAATCTTGAGATGATAAGAGGCTGTTGGGAAGCTTCTATAAGAGACCTTTTGCACATGTTCAGAAAGATCTTAACACTGAATTGATACTTGGAAAAGTCAGACAACATTGTAAAAAGTATCAGGGAATGTCAGAAACTTTGGCAGCCAAAGACGGCAAACACCACATTTTCTGTCTATACCAGCTTACTAAGACTGTTAACGGGTGAAGAGGAAGTGATTCTCTGGTTAACCACTTATTTCTGTTTAAGAATGGGTAGTACAAACCCATAAACAAATCATAAATTGGGAGAGATGGTAGAAACAATGTTATTTGACATGCTAGCTTTCTCTTGTATTTGCTTTCTTACAGTTAACCATTTAACACATATTATGTTTCTTCAAACACATTAGACCTGACTCCTATATACACGGTTCTCAGCTAACCAAAGACATCTTCCAGAAAATATTTTTAAATAAAAAATAGTAAAAAACCCTGAACCCACTAACCTAACCTTACTGAGGACAAATTAATTATCCTAGCTCCACTAATTTATTCTCATTTTCAATCCTAGTGCAGGTGTTGGTATTTTGGAGTGGATACAAAATACCTGAAGAAAACAGCTTTCATGACAAGACAAAAAGGGGAACTTTTGAAATGAGTTGTTCTACACCAAATAACTATACTTCAAGGTATTGGAACTTCTGTCACTGAAGTCTCTCCCAAAGGAAATGTCCTCCTTCACAATACATGCATTACTTGAACAGAAAACAAACAGAAAGCCCCTTATGTGCAGTAGTACACGATGGAGTCTGACAAACAGCTCAGGTTCTTCCTCCTCTTGTCCTGAAATCCAGGCCATAAGAGGCAACCAGGGGGCAAATGAAAAAGGTCCCTTCATCAAAGGCAAAGTTAATTGTTTTGACCAACCTGCAGTCTTGACATGGTATTTACATATGAAAACAAGGCTGTGCCTACTTTTCCTTTCTGATCTCCCAGAATAAAAGTTTGCCAACAGGTGATGTATGAATACTTGTTGGAAATGGTTGTGTGCACACTGGATGTAAGTAGAAAACTACTTCAAAAAAAGAAACCCTTAGCACTGAATACTGAGTTTGCCATGTAACCAGTTTTAGGAGTGATAATGAACAAAGCAGGAAAAACAGTTTAAAAATTTAGCCCCAGTATGCACTGTCATTTCAAGCAGATGGTCTCTAAGATGATTATATTTTTAGTAGCTTCTAAATGAAATACGGTAGCTATATAAAACAAACAAAAACTTCTGTCAACAGTTAAGGCTGCTTGAATAATTGTGATAATTTTAGCAGCCTTCAGGGCAAGAAGGACTAGTTTCCAGGGGTTTAAATTTTTCATTTGTTTTATACAAGTGTCTTTTAGGTGGGAAAAAAAAAAAGAGTTAGAGAAAGAAAGGATTTTTTTTTTAAGAAAAGCACACTTGTGGCTCTATTAACAACATTTACTTGAAAAATTTACATATTCTTTTTTTTCTTTTTTTTCTTTTTTTAAATTTGGCTTAATGACGAAAAGTTAGGAAGGCTACTTAATCATGTCAACTGACAGAGGTCTTGAGAAGGGAGGAGGACTGGAATTTCTTGAAGGCAAAGGTACAAAACTATTGGTAACATTTTGCGTAGATGTGGGGGAACTTTCAAGGCCATGGCTCCAAGCATAACTATATGACAAAAAATAGGTATTAAAATAGAGAGCCAAAGAAAAAGTAAGAGAAAAAAAATCCAGTAGGAAGGGAAGATATGTTGTAGAAGACAAGAGCTGGAATAAACTGGGTTGCACCCTGGAAAGGTAATTGAAATTAAATGGCCAAATATCTTTTATTGCCTACCAAGAAAAAGCAGCAGTAGGGTCAGTACTTGATGAAGATAAGAGCAGATTAAAGGAAGGGAGAAGGATAATGAAAATTAAATCTTCCTCCTTTTCTGTGAAACATCTGTTATTGTGCCACATGGAAATTACTTAAACTTGCAAGATACAAGGATCCATTCTCTAGTAAAATTATGAAGCAGAATTAGGCAAAATTTGAAACTGCAGTAAATATCCTAAACAAACACTAGCTAAGCCTGTATCCTTTATTAACATCTCCATGCTTACAAAACCTGAGCAATGCGATCTGCACAGATGGTGAAACAAGCCAGAAGGCTGGAGTAAATCTGAGGAGGTGCGTGGCATGCAATTTTTGAGAATGCTAACAAAGTATCTGTGAAGTTGATCCAAAAATGAAGAGTAATCTAGCATCTGTATGTTCAGGATCGCCTACGTTTCCCTTTGAATACCAACACTAAGCTGTTCAGGTCAGCTAAAGGCTTCTGGTGGTGGTGTGGATTTTTTCATAAGAGAATCACAGCAGTGTGAGACTTCCACAGCTTTGGATGGAAAGCAGCATTTGCCATGCACTCCAAATATTTTGGCAGGATGTAAAAGTGCATTATTTCTAGGAAGTGTCCTCATCTGAGGAGACTGACCAAAGCATGCCAAGGTGTTTCATCTTCTTATTTTGATAGAAACTGTGCTCTAGGAACATAGGATTGATCTAATTTTTAATCCTGCAGAAAGTTTTAGCTTCAAGTGGTAACTAAGGTAGATGTTCCATGGATTACAGCAAGATACTGTTCCAGGGGTGGAAGAGGACTCGAAGGAGAACACTGAGTTATATGTAAGCTGGCAGTATGTATGCGTAGACTGGACATGAGACACAACAACTCCGAAACTGAGCAGAAGAAGCAGTACCACCAAGAAAACCAGGCTGACTTGGGTACATCCAAGTATTGAACTGAAACCAATTCCTGCTCCTGCCGTCATATCACATACACATGTCAGAAAGTAAAGGAGATGAAGACCTAAGAGAGATTGTTCGTAACAGAGCTGAGTGCCCTGGCTATATGAGATCACTTAAAGGTGCTGCTGAATACAGAGTATGTACTGCATCTGGGTATTTCACAGAACCATAAAATGGTTTGGGTTGGAAGGAACCTTAAAGATCATTTAGTTCCAACCCTCTTGCTGTGGGCAGGGACACCTTCCCCTAGATCAGGTTGCTCAAAGCCTCATCCAACTTGGCCTTGAACACTTCCAGGGAAGGGGCATCTGCAACTCCTCTGGGCAACCTGTTCCAGTGTTTCACCACCCTCATTGTAAAAAGTTTCTTCCTTATATCTAACCTAAATCTCCCCTCTTTCAGTTTAAATCCATTGCCCCTTGTCTTATCACTACACACCCTTGTAAAAAGTTCCTCTCCAGCTTTCTAGTAGGCCCCTTCAGGTACCGGAACGTTGCTATAAGACAACCCCGGAGCCATGCTGATGACACACAGAAAAGTAAAATGAAAATCCCTT